CCCTCCGCCACCCTTCGTTACCCGGCTGGGGGCCGCAGGAGAAGCCGCGAAGGCAGGCAGAGCCCCAGCGGAAGGGGGGACGGGACGGGTCCGGGGCCTAGCCCGGAGGTTGCCACCCCGTCCTCCCCTTTCCCCTCCAGCCGAGGCCCCAGAGAGGAAAAGAGGCGGGAAACGCCACCCGGAGGAGCGGCGGCGGTCCAAAGCAACGGCCGCCCGGCCCCGCTCCTCCTCCCTCCTCCTCCTCCTCCGCGCCGTTTCCTCCTCACCTGTTCGGCCGCGGGCCGGGTCCGCCCAAGGAGGCCGGGCCGCCCCTGCCGCCGCCTTCCCCTCTCGCGACAGCCGGCCTCCTCCGCCATGTCCAGAAGGGGAGGGGAGGGGGCGGCGACGGTTCTTGGCTCCCTGGTTGGCCGCGAGAGGAGGAGGCCGCGCCGCTGGGCGGGGTGAGAAGCCCCTGGCCTGGCGGCCGCCTCCCCCTCGCGTCCCGCCCTCCCACGCTCCCGTCCGCCGCGGAGGCTTCGGCCCCGCAGCCGCTTCTTCTGGCTTCCGTGGAAGGGGCTCCAGGATGCTGCGTCGTGCTGTATGAAAGGAGAGGGGCTGAGTCGACACCTTACCCGCCTCGGTCCCGGGCGCTTCTTTAACCCGGGTTGAGAGGCTCTCTGCGTATCCTCAGAGGCCCTTTGTGCACCCACTAAAGGCTGCCCAGCAATGCTCCCTCTAAGCTGTGGGGTCAAGAATTCTACTTGGCGAGCGACCGGCATTAAAGTTGTGAGCCAGCGATTTAACCACTGCCTAAGCCCATCCCACCCCTGGGGGGGTCAACAGTGGGAGGGCTTCTAATGTCCTGGCCCCACTGCTGGACCTCCTGATGGCACCTGGTATTTCTGGCCACTGTGTGACACAGAGTGTTGGACGGGATGGGCCTTTGGCCTGATCCAACATTGGCGTCTCTTATGTTCTTATGTTCTAAGGCAAAAATGTGCGAGCCGGAGGCAATGCTCCCTCTAAGCTGTGGAGTCTTGTGAGCAAAAATTCTACTTTGTGAGCTGCTGGCATGAAAGTTGTGAGCCAGCCATTTGGCTACTGCCTAAATTAGTTTGCTTGGGAGCCATCCTTCCTGAGTGAAGACAAAAATCTATAGGCCGGAGGCTAAAAAGCT